GGACCTGGAGGCGGAATTATACCTATTTTTTAGAGGGCTGGTGTTTACATTCCTGGACGTTAATGCGTCAGCCCAGGCTTTGTAACACTCCTGTTTATAGCATGATGCTATTTTACAGTAGCGACTTAACTATGGCTGAGATCTGCCTCCGATGGGCACCACAAAGGAAGGAATAAAAAGTCCTATACCCTGAAGTACCTCAGCGACAGAATCAGCAACAACGTTGGGATCGTCCGGTGAGCAGCAAACCCCTCCCCAAGGGTAGGATGCAAAGATAGACCCCATCCTATCCCAATCGGCCGACCTATAGTGCCAAAAACGGTGGCAGCCTGCAACTAATTTTAAAACCGCTCGACTGATCTCTCTTTGAAACAAATGAAAAAGAATTTTTCAAATCGGTTCAGATGTCTTCGTGTAAAAACATGTAACAAATTAAAAGTAATATTGATTCAAATTGAAAAAGTTAACAACTATTATATCATCATCATTGTCAAAGATTCTCACCTTTGACGCTGCTGCCTGTCGCCAGTCTGGATATTTTACGCCTGGTGTAAACGAGACTCCATTTATCGGAAGGAATACACTAGTGGTCGGAATGTGGTGATGGATTTTCTTAAACACAACAGCGTTAGAATTTGAAGGAAAACATTAATTGAAAAGTAGGAAAAGTTTATAGATTTTTCTTCCAAATTAGAAATATTTTAGTGGTAGAAATTCTATTACTCAGCTTCTAATCTATCTATACAAATCTCTATCGGACGTCATTGGACCTTTCCCATAGGCTTCTATTACGTCACCCACGGCATGAAATGGAGTGATTGATTCCCTAACACGGCCACACTGCAGAATATGTAATTACGATTCTTTTAAATGTTCAGTGAACCAAAGACTCGAATTTACCAATGAACTTTCGGTCAGCAGCATTTTTTGTTAATCCTTTCTCAAATCTCTAGAAGAAATTAAGCAGATGTTTAAAACAGCAGCTTGCAGGCTCAACTATTCTGTAATAACACCCAAGAAACGGCGATAGGGCCTGGATAATCCGAACACACAAAATTTACACCCTGCGTTCGAATTATAGTGTGTAGATATTTTTATAAACTAGCCCCTCAAATACCGGTATAATATTCTAGGTTAGGCTGTTGACCATTGTAATTTTTGTACATGTAAGTATGTTTATCAATAAAGATTATTATTATTATTATTAACAAAAAATGTTTTTTGAAATGAAACAGGTTTTATAATTGAAAGTGAATACAAATTTTAATCAATATACATATATTAATTGTTTAAAGATATCTTTTGATTTTCTTTTATTAGTTAAAATTATAATATTTACGATTAATACTAATTATATACAATATAAAAAAAGAAACTATAATATATATAAACTAAAACTAAAAAATTAAATAGTCAAGGAGACCTGCTCCCCGTGGTATAGTGCCAAGAACTCTGGCTGCGTTTCCTCGCTGAATAGCTATACTTAGCCTTTGAGCGAGGAAAGAACCAGCCCTCTTATCACTAGCAGCGACGACCAGTCGTGGATACAGTTCCTTTAGAAACTTCACTGCACGCGGACCCCACGGACCGATAGTCTCTACAGCAAATGGCATAAACATGTAGTCATTTCTCAAAGACTCATATTTGCGCCATTTACTAAATTCGGCTGCCTCTGATGTCGCCCCGGCTCTAAAAGAAAGCCCAAAGTGTCAACGCAAGTAGCATCCCACACTAGGGCTTTACCTCTCTCCCGAGGGACCAAAGTCATACCGTCGGGTCTCCTGCCATCGTCTCTAAATATCCCGCAAGGCTCTAAAACCGAGGGGACGTTTATGGAGACAAGAGCTCTTTGGATGATTTCGTTCAAAGAACAGTGACGGGAAAACCTACCTGCACTTTTCTTGCATGAAAGTCCGTGGAGCCCAAACTCATCGACGCTGCTACCACAGGGCACTGGTGAGGTTGACAAATTGCCACTCCTAGCCGGATTCCTTCGGCGATGCGCAAGCTTTGCCCATCAAGCAATGTGCCGAGATTACTTGATGGTAGAGCATGTAACCACTGGCTTGATTCCTTATTATTATATTATTATTCCTTTCCTTCACCTGTTTCAGCTTCCCTCTGTCGGCTCTTACGACACCCAAGGGACGATGTGGGGAAGTGGATATTCTAACACCGCCATTACACTACACTAATCTTACAACTTTTGATTGGTTAGCACAAATGAATATTCACTGGAAACCTAAGACCGCCTAATATCACTTGTCTTTTCTTTTTACTCACTTGACTACATTAACAGGTGCCCATTCAGTACTTTGTCTTCTTCTGTAATTTGAAGAGAAGTCGCAAAGTGCTGAATTTGTTATAAGCAGATTGTTAAAAAAAATCTAGTATAGTACTTTGACAAGCGGTGTTTAACGACAAAGAAAATGTTTAATCTAAATTTACGCAATTATATTTTTTTAAATATAGTATACTTGAGCAGGGTCGTTCGGATTATAGCAGCGTTAAAATTATCGGGGGTTCGGAATGTCGAGGCTCTACTCTACTGTATTGCAGGAAGTCGATGGCTGCAGGTGATTCAGGACAATGCATTACTTGGGACGCTACGTTCAGCAGGGGACTTGTGAAGTTCTATAATAATAATGTTTTTTTTTACTATTATAATACAGTGTTTGATTACAATTCCACCTGCTGGTAAGTGGTGATGCAGCCAGATGGTAAAGTGCGCTGGCTTATTGGTAATTATTCACTCTTGGTAATGATCATGATGATGATGATCATCAAAAGTGAATGATCAAATTAATGATTAAAGTAATGTTAAGTTAAAGATAACAATAGAGCTATTATTTAACTAATAACTTCCACAATTTTGTAGCAGCTTTATCATATGGCAAGACATCCAAATAACCAAATAGCAAAATGTAACATGTGGTTCTTCCACATGTGGTGTTTTTAATATTTAATAAAATATTAAACCACTCTTTTTTTTCAAAGGTAGATAATAAAATATGGTAATGTAAAAGACAGAACGTAAAAGTAATTTAGGGCTCCAAGTAAAATAATTTGATTTATTGAAGAAAAAAGGTACGTTGAATATGTTATGGAGGTGAGGAAGTACTAATTTTAACCCCAGAAGCGTAATCTTATTTGACAGTGCTTTAAGCCTAATCAAACGCTATGAAGCGTGGTATACATTGAAGTTATATGTACAACGCGGTCACATTAACTTGACGCATCGCTGGAATGCGTGGCCCCGCCCGCTTCTCCCCGCACTCCCTTAGCTCGCCCGGCAATCGTCAGTATGGTTAGCATCTCTGTTACCGATACGCGCGTCGATATTTCAAATAGTTTTCTGTTGCTATTGTTGTTATTGGATATTTTGTTACGTTTTCGTTATTGTTTAAGTTTGGCTGTTTTTGGACATTTTGTTACGTTTTCGTTATTGTTTAAGTTTGGACTGTTTTTGTTAATTTTGGACTATTTTTGTTACTACTCATTTTTTAACATGGGGAAAACTATACACAGTGAAGGGAGAAATCTTGTGTTGAAAGTGCTGCAGTTTTTCGAGAATGAGAAGAAAAATAGACGCTTTTGCATACCTGTAGATCAGGTTGATAAACGAACCTGTGCAGTAACTGGAATATCAAGAAGTACTCTTACTCGTATAAAAATGGAGGCCAAAAAGGCATGTGTCCACCGTCGGGTTCTTCGCCCGACGCTAGTCCAAGCACTAGCACGGCTCCAAGTACTAGTACGGCCCCAAATACTAGCACCGTTCCAAGCACCCACAATTGTCCCAGTCCAAGTACTACAGACATTCCAATGAGGGAAATAAAGTTATCCACACCGGGTAAAAAGCGTAAACAATCAGTGAAAAAAATTATCGTGGATGATTTTGATATTTGCGCAATACGCAATATCATCAACAGCTACTGTAAAAAAGGAAGTACCCACGCTTAAAAAAATCTTGGTAGCTGTTAAGAGAGATCTTAATTTTCAAGGTGGAAGAACTTTCCTTAAAAATATTTTAATAAATCAGTTGGGTTATAAGTTTAAAAAATGTAAAAGTGCGCGTTCGGTGCTAATTCAAAAAGCCGATATAGCCGCATGGAGAGAACGCTACTTGCGCTGAATGAAAGAGAACAATGACCTCGGCGCAGGTAAAAAACCAGTTATCTACCTGGATGAAACGTGGATCCATTCCCATTATACCGTTAGCAAATGCTGGCAAAACAGCAAAGATAGCAGCGTGAATAAAAATTAACCCGGGTCAACGGTGAATTCTGGTGCATGCTGGAGGAGAAAACGGATGTATCCCAGATGCAGATTTGTTATACAAATTCAAAGGTACTACTGGCGATTACCATCATGAAATGAATACCGAGAATTTTTTGTAATGGCTTAATGAAAAGCTGATACCAAACTTGCCCCCAAATAGTATAGTCGTCATTGACAACGCGCCTTACCACTCAACGCAGTCGGTGAAGGCGCCCACAAGTGCAACGTTAAAAGGAGACATGCAACAGTGGCTGCGTGACAACAATATTCCATTTGATGAAAAAATGAGAAAAAGAGAACTCTACCATTTTATAAAAAAAGCAAAGCCGCCGAAGCAATAACATTGTCGATGATTTAATGAAACGACATGGCCATGAAATTGTACGTTTGCCACCCTACCATTGTAACCTCAACCCCATTGAATATATCTGGAATTTGGTCAAACAGAGGGTGGCATACAAAAACGTAGACCAATAAGAAAGAAAAATTGAAAATCTCACCAGAGGTGCAATAAACTCCATCACAGCATCAGACTGGAAAAAAGAAGTTAACCATGTCGAGAGACTACAACAGGTCAGTTCCTAAATAAATTATATGTTTGTATTGTGATGTTAAATAAAAAAAATATAAGTACTTTTTTGGAGGTACATATTAGTAATTCAATAAATTGATACAATTATTTTGTGGTAAATTTATAACACTATTTTATTTCTTTTCAGGAATACTGGGAAAAAGATGGCCTGGTTGACGACGTACTGCAGCAACTTGTACTTGATCTTGAGAGAGGAGAGGAGGAGAGGAGTCATCCGACAGCGAGATCGAAAGTGAAGAAGAAGACAGTTTAGACCATGACATTTTACCAATTATTTATAGTGAAGATGAATTTTGAATAAATATTTATCTATCAACATAAAATAGTTTTAAATTATTTTGTATAAAAAAATACATGATGCAACATATAGCAAGATTAACAAATAAAACCTATGCTCCAAAATCAAAAATACAGTTTTTATTTATCTACATGCTTTTTTTTCGCACCGTACCAGACCGCCAAAATGACTTCATCAAAGCCATGCGTCAAGTTAATGTGACCGCGTTATACTTACGTACTAGCACAGCTATCTCAAACAAATAATGTGCGCTACTCCGTGTTCGCGCGGTTGTTTTTTTATCATAGAATAAACATAGGTAGAATGACGCGTAGGTAATAGTAGATTGTATTGTTAAATAGGTAAATTATATCGAGAACAATATTTAAATTTTGTCATTTATTTTGTATATATTTGCTCATTTAATATAATTATACATGATATTCTATCACAATTACATTTTAATGATATTTTTATCTGAAAATTTTAAAAGGTATCTAAGTCAAATATAAAAAACATTACTAAGTGTATGTTTAACATAACTTATTAACATAACATTTAAATTACAAATATATTTATTTAAATTAGAATAAAAGTCGTTCATAAATGCCGGGCACGCGAGAGTTAAAAATGGACGAATTTATTCCACTTTGACTTTGATGTAGAAATCTAAAAATAAAATAAAAGAATAATGAGCAGATTTAAATATGAAAAATTTAGCCTAATTATAATAACTTATATATGCTTCTACAAAAAAATGTGTATAATAATATATTCGTCCTATACTTAAGTACCCACAGAAATGTCGCATCTGAACGTATTAATTTCATAATCTATCTTAGGAATAATTTGTTTTATTATTAATCTTTAATACTTTTTTTATTGATTAAGTATCTTATGAACCGATGAAAAGTAATTCCTAACTGACATTTCTTGAATTATTTGTGCAGTATCTAATTACACACGACGGCATATTTCTATCAAGAGATTTTTTTTAAATCAACACAACACGTTACAACTCTATAAGCGCCTAGCGAGTGACTGATTAAAGTGCGGTGTATTCACCGCAGTTGAGTGGAACACAGTAGCTGAATGCAGTGTCATCTTTATCATCATCATTATTACAGCCTTTCACAAGTCCACTGCTGAACATAGGCCTCCCCCAAGGTGTACCACAAAGCACGGTCCTGAGCCACCTGCGTCCATCGACTTCCTGCATGTCTTACCAGGTCGTCACTCCATCTAGTGGGGGTCGCCCTACACTTCGTCTACCGGTACGAAGCTGCCACTCGAGAACCTTTTTCCCCCAACGGTTGTCGGTTCTTCGGCTATATGGCCGGCCCATTGACACTTCAGATTATTATTCCGTTGGGCTATGTCCGTCACTCTGGTTCTACTACGGATATGCTCATTTCTAAGTTTATCACGCAGAGAAACTCCGAGCATAGCCCTCTCCATAGCTTGCTGAGCGACTTTGAGCGTCCTCATATGGCCAACAGTGAAGAACCACGTTTCAGTTCCATATGTCATCACTGGCAACACACACTGGACTGTACAACTTAGTTTTCAGGTTTTTAGGTATACCTGACGAGAAGATGTGTCGTAATTTCCCGAACGCTGCCCAGCCGAGTTGAATCCGTCGATTGACCTCTCGGTCGAAGTTGGACTTACCTAGTCGGACTATTTGTCCCAGATAAACGTACTCGTCAACAACTTCGAGCTTAGTGCTCCCAACAACTACCGGCATAGGTGTGAAATGGACATTAATTGTTTTGTCCATGTTCATCTTAAGACCTATCCGTTGGGAGGCACTATTGAGTTCATTGAGCATAGTGCTTAAGTCCTCCAGCGATTCTGCCGTAAGGACTATATCGTTGGCAAATCGAAGGTGAGTGGTGAACTCGCCATTGATGTTAATACCGTATCCTTTCCAGTCCAGTAGCTCAATGGTGGTATACTAAAAAATTGTACCTACATAAGATAAAGTCAGCGACATTAATATATTTTTATCAATGGATTCTATCTGGATAAAATGAAATCATAAAAAACATGTTTTAATCAATTATTATTGCTTATTTACATACTCAACTTAATAAAAAAAACTTCTATTTGAAATCAATACTTTTTTTATAAATTAAAACTTTCATTATTATTTTTTGTTTTCCAAATCTATATTAATCAGTCATTGAAAATCTACCGTCTATATTTTTCATAAATCTCACAGTCGATATAAACTTTCGCCTTTTGTTGGCCACATATTGACTTCTTAAATTTATAGGATACTAATTTAGACATTATCTTTTTTATAAGAACAAAATTACGAAAATAGTGGCGTGTTTTGATTCAAAATTGATCTCTACTAGCTACATTCATTGCTTCAGGTGAGTTTTCTCAGATTTTGTTGATGTTGTCTCGTGTCGGCTTCAAAGGCGAAACTTCAAGTTGTTTTCTATTCAATGGGTCAATAAGTTGGTACTTACTTTTTTCATAAAAAAATTCCTTACCAGTGGTTTGTAATTTATAGTTATTTCATTATGATTAAATATGATGTTCATAAATTCCATAGAATACCACTATGGTGGATAGGACATCTATTTGTTTTGCACCTGCTTGACATATTTCAGGCGTTCCTTGAATTGACCCCTCTTTTCGTTTGGTTGTAAAATAATATTCACACCTGATTTTCCGTACTCTTCACTGACCATGGCTTTTTTATTACAATACGATAAAATGAAAACTTTTTTTTATAATCTTCAGCGATTTAGGCTTATGTGAAACGAGCGTTAATGGAACTTCGAACAAAGAACAAAACATAGAAGAACCATTTGGACGTGATTGTAAGTTTCGTTCTGTTCTGGTATTTCACATTTTTTGAACGGATATTGCCCACCAAGATTAGTTTAATATGGATGTAAAAGTAGAGATTTTGCAAGAAGTGCCGAGGTGAACCAGTTGTCACAAGTAAAGTTCCTTTTAGAAGTATGTAGTAAGCGGCAGAACTCCTGTGTTGGTTATCTTACCCGTGTAAAACGAAGCGGCGATCATGTATTTTAAAGAAGGATCACACATAATGGGAAATTTAATTCCATATTTGTCCAGTTTGTTTGATATATACATGCGTGCAATAGTGACATTTGTCCCCGGAACATAATTAACTCTGCACTGATATATACATATTTCCTATATACCTCTCAAAGGAATTAAAGCATCATATTTTGTGAAATCTGTTCACAATTAATTATCGTTGATTCTTAGATACTTGATCAAGAACTCTAACCTTTCTTTGACCCTTTGTATTTGACCAACAATGACCATTCTTACGTCGAATTGTTCTGAGATGAATAAACTATTTGCACTTTGAGAAGCAGAAGATTCAGGTTCTTCTAAAATAATTGGTCACATACATCACACTTCTGACGCTGAACCTCCTGGAAAATATTCATCATCTTCTAAAACATGTTCGATATATTTCCAAATTCAATGTTTAGTATCTAATACCCATGATGGTTATTCAACTGAAAAGTATGTTTATATCTTTTTATTATATAAATATCAGAAAAAAATAAATAATCACCTAAAATTAACTTAAAAATAAAACAACTAAAAATAACAAATGTAACATAAAGCATAAATATACGACTACAAAGCGTAGTGGTAAGAGAAGAGGAAACGTGGTCAAACCAAAACTGAATTATTAATGTGTACCGTGACAGTGTATAGGTCTCAGAGGATTTTAAAAATATAAAAATGTATGAGCGTATAGTATACTTCTTATTAGTGTATGGATCTTAAAAATCGAATTTAGGTGTAAAGACTCTAGATAGAAAAATGACAAAATAAACGTAGAAAACGATCCTGAAAAAAGAAATACTCTTTTCTTATACAAGCGTACAGGTGACTAAACAGCACACAGTATCTCACTGTAAGTGGATGCTGTGGCTTATCCTGTGCTGTGACTTCATCAAATCAAAATGCAGATGTATTATTTGATCTCTAAGGGCTTAAATTGAATGCCTCTTTACCAGTTAATAATGCCTCGGTTTTTCCACTGACCATACAATAGCATTACGTCGCTGCTGGTTTTCTTGCTATGCTAGCTAGTATTCTGCAGCACCGTGCTTTCTCATCCTTTTTTATCTTTTTCCTGTTAGGCCGACCCTTTCACTCTACAGTCATAAATACCTCTGCTGCGTAATAATTACTCAAAGCCGACTACCTAAATAGTTTTAGTTAGCGGTGTATGAAAGGATTTAGCTGCACACATTGTAACATAGAGGGAATAAGTGTGTTCTTTGAAATTGTTAGGCTATTCGAGTCGTTTAGGAAATTCTGAGTATTTTTTTTAAATTTAAGCTCTACTGTAATAAAAATAAAACCGATGGTTTCATAAAATTTTAAGTGTTTTGACATTTACCCTGTTTTTGTTTCAGGATCACCTGGGTCTTCCCAGACCTAATTGGGGCGCAGAACGGACCCGATGAAAGAATTTTCGTCGGCTAAGTAGCGGAGTAGCTTAGTGACTGGATGCATCGAATTCTTAAGAGACTTGTGTTACGAGATGGTTCGTGTTTATTTTAAAGCCAGAAAGTTCGAAAGAAGTAATTAACATAAGTTTTTGACTAATTAATAAAATGCTTATAGTACAATCTTACATCAGTTCGTAATATTTTTCTTAATATTTTACACGCTGAATGCGTGTAATGATTTAATCAATGAGATAATGCTTTTCATGATAAATAAAACCAAATATCTACAATTAAGTTTTCACTCTGACATTAAATAATGTCGTCATCATTCAATAAAATTTATAAATATAATCTAGTTATCGAAAATTAAGGTATTATTTTTTGTTTTATATACAATTGAAATTCCTTGTACACCAAATAACAGTTATAATACAGCTGTTATACAGCTTCTTTTATGGTTGTACAGCTACTGTACAGGGTTGCTAACGCATAAAGCTGTATAATTTGTGCAATTTTTTTATCTGAAGTATATAAGCGCTTATACAGCCCTTATACAACCAGGAAATACTGCCTCTACTCGTAGTATAAAAACAAACTTCAATTCAGCTTGTATACAGCTTGAAATTCTACTTGGGATCCTTTAACCGTTTGGCATAACAAGTCGCAAAATACAGCCCTGGACTAATAACTGTCTGATAATATGACATGACTGATAACAACATGTACCAAATTGAAAACACACCCATGACATGTAAATCACATATAGGTCATATCAGGTAATGCGTTGAGTACGAGTACAGTCACGCCAAATACACAATTTTCATTAATTATAGATTGCTTACCCGCTTTATTTTAATTTCTGACTAAAAATAATTCAAATGAATATTATTATTATTATGTACTTTATTGTACACCACAAAACTATAAAAAAATATTACTATTATTATGTACTTTATTGTACACCACAAAACTATAAAAATATTATTATTATTATGTACTTTATTGTACACCACAAAACTATAAAAAAATAGATTAGACAAAGTAATATTTAAGAGGTAGGTACAATAACGCGGTCTTATAAGAAGCGATATCTTCCAGACAACCCTAAGATTAGGAGAAAATTGTAATATTGGACAATGGAAGGTGGTGTATATTATAACAAACTTACATACTAATAAATAAATAAAGTAAACCGATACATAATAACAAAATATTAATATTGTAAAATAAAAAGGCAACAATTAGATGTAAATTTTGGCAGGGCTCGGACCGCGAACTAAAAAAGGTCGTAGGTTCGAATCCGCCATTCGACTACTGGCGTGAACCACTCGTAACACAAGCAATTTAAGCTTACCACGAGTGGTTATGGGGAATATTAGTAATGTTTATTGCATTGTTAATATTCTTTAAAAAAATATATTAAAATTTGATTGCATGTAGTGAAACTAACATTTATAGATAATATTGCTAACGGAATTGGGATAAAATAAAGTGCAACCAAATTATTTGTCTGATATTGATTTTATTCCATAGATATCTCGCGACATGGAGGGGGTACGTTAGTAAACGCCGCGCAAACATCTCTCATGAAGTTGTCCCCATCGTTGCTCTTTCCGTTGAGCAAGATGTACGGTACGCCATCAAAATGAGCTTTTGTGCTTTCATCGCCGTAGTATTTAAGAAGTAGATTGCCTGTATTTCCTTTTGCACATTCTTTTATTAAAGAAACATCTACATTTTGTGCGGTACCACACTGAAATTAAAAAAAACACATTTTCACAAGAAACTTAAAAAGTACTAAATAAATAAGGAAGGTTACACTGATCTCATTTTTGAAAAAGTTTTCTTGTACTGCCACTCAATGAAGTTAATTATATCCTACTAAAACATAAATGTGAAAAGATGATTTATCCCTAGGATCTATAGGAAGGTACAACGCTTTTGGAACTGCTTTGGAGTTTGTACACACACTGTGGGTCCGTCACCCTTTTATTTTCTTAACTTGGCTGACACACTGCCGCGTCTAGACTACTCTTACGTCTTCCAATTGTAAAACGGCTTTAAATGACACCTTTTGGATTTTGCTTGTATTGTGTATTTTGTAGTGTATTATACTTGTATCTATAAAGCGAATATGTAGACACTAATAGTATAAATACGCCTTAAACTCGTAGCCAGACAGCGAGATATAGACTGGACTGTTTCCGAAGTAATCTATGGCAGTTCTGTACTTGCAGAAGTGGAGATGAGCTGGTCGCTGACGCAACAACTGTTGGACGAGATGTATTCTATAGTGGAAACGTGCATAAATGAACGAATTACGGGAGAGACTGGTTAGGTCATATTCATTTAACATTATATTCAAGCGCAAGCCGCGCTTGAATGTAATCTTAATGTTTGGCTGTAGATGTAGACCTCTAGTTTTGTAAGATATCAAATAATGCTCTCCAGTCATCAAAAATACTTCAACCTTTTGATTTGTATGAAACCTACTAATAAAATAAAAAACCGTTGTATTTTATTTTATTAGTAGGTTAAAATCACAATCAAAGCCAATATTTGCTAAACAAATGCATGCATTTACGCAGCATAAATAGGTCGGTTCGACTAGGGGAAAGACCACGATCTCACAGAATACCAGCTTAAAAAATCAGCTTCATGCTGCTGTGTTTCGTATGGTGAGTCTACAATCCCGGAAATGGAGACCCGGTTCTCTATAGAAACGGGTCGCTATTTTACTGCTAACGAGGTATTCCATTTTGACCCTTAGGGGTGACCACGCATCTGCATTTTGATTCTTACTTGTGTTTAGATGTAGGTTACATCATTCACTTACCATCAGATGAACAGTGTGCGTATTTGTCGCCCCTTTTCCATGAATTATTTTATCTTAATTTGTGATAAGTCTATGAGGCTTAAGGATCGGCTGTAGTTGCATATATTATATGAGTTACGAACCGCGTCAGCAGCGTCGTCATCGGATCCGTGTCTTCCTTGCCTTGGTTCCATCATGCATGAATTAAAGAGCACAGCCCGAGTCATGTTCCGCAGCGAATAAATAGCACACGCGTGCAGTTTGTTGCCATAGCACTCTTCGGGACCGTGCTGGCATTGAAATACGTAATGGCCGTTATGATTAAACGTCTGAAATTGTCACAAAATGTTTATCTTACAGGGATTGGATTTAATTCTCGAATCTGCTTTCCATAAAGAGATATCAACAAGATACCCTGTGGCAGGTAGCACTCGGGAAGTTTTTGATTCGTCGTTTATAATGCGCTCAGTAAAGGATTGGAATAATTTGTTTGCATCTGTCTTTCTACGTGAATACACACTGTGTTTCTTTAATAGAAAAATAAGAGCGAGGCCATACGATGCGTTTTGCTGTGTTGCAACGGCTGAGAGGTGACGTTGTTGGGTACGGAAACGTTTGTCAACAACATCTCCGCATTTCCACCTCGTAGTAAGCGACGTTGTGTTGCATCACTTAGGTGGCCGTGCATCACTCAGCGCAGCAATGCATCTGCCAACTTAAGTAAAGCTAAAATAAAGTAAAGCTAGTTAAATAATTGCATGATTCGTAGGTATATGGTAACTCTCAGTCAATTCATTACAATGTCTGTGAATAGGTACGTACAAGATGGCCCCCGCATTTACATTAGATTTAATAGACCCTAAATCCTCGTAAAAGAACACCGATTCCTACCAAGAATCATTCGAGAGACTATTGAAATCAAGAACAACCTAGAGAAGATGGTAGCACGCGCTACCATCTGCTTGGGATCCTGTAATTAATAAAATGAAACCCCAAGCCGTGCATACCACTGAAAGAATTCGAGATACTATAAGGTTTTTCCGCGTAGATTGGACCAAAAATTAATTAAAATGGTTAACTATGATATTGCGACGTCGAACATTTCAGGACTCCGTGATCATGGGTGTTGTAAAGTACTCGAAACGTTGGGAGTATAAAATAAGTCAATAAACGCGATAAAATCCGTAAAAACTGGTTCCATTCATTACTAAAGACTGTGTTATAGACTGGAAACCAAACATAATATATTAATGTTCTCTATACCGTATTCATCAAATGAAACGAATACCATGCGAAGTTTAACTTGACGGTCGTAATCTAATAAAGGCGGTAAGCAAGCCTTCGAGGGCTTTCCAAAGCACGACGGCACGAAGGTATAATAAAATTGCAACGGGAACAAATGAAAATTGAATAAACTCAGATTTTTCCACAGACTGATAGAGCTATATTTTATTGAAATTATTTTGTACTAGTGGCCCGCCCCGGCGTTGACTGGGTAGGATCTATTATTAAGGTGTCATTAAGATTTTAAAATAATTATATATAACCATAAATTTTTTCTGCTGGCATTGCATACTATCTTTCTGTGAAGTTTCATCACAATCACTTCAGCCCTTCCGTAGACTATACATACAGAAAGGTCAGACAAACAAAAATTTTACAAGTGGTTGTTCATGTCATAATGATTGTTATTAACCCCCTAGACTCAGCAAAAGAAAGTTATTTTGACATTATAGACAGACACTACAATTTTAATAATTTTAATTTTCTAGTACTTTGTGGCTATTAGATGACATATAATATATAAAAGTGAAGTAAAGTTACAGCCTATGTACGTCTCACTGCTGGGCAAAGGCCTCTCCTCATTTCTGAGAGGGTTTTAGGGCAAGGAAGTGTCCGCCGCGTTGCCGTTGTGTTGGCGAACTTCACATGTCTTCGAAATTTTTTTTCCTTATTTCTCAGACATGCAGGTTTCCTCACGATGAGAGCCGTGGTAGCTCCGATGGTTAACGCTAGCTGTAAATATAATGAAATGCGTGTAACCCGGATTCGATCCCCGCTGGCACCAATGAAATTATTTATCGCAATTTTAAATGCTGATTTACCACGAGCTCGGCGGTGAAGGAAAACATCGTGAGAATATAATATATACTTATATATTAAATAACACTAGCAACGTACCAAGGTTTGCTTGGATAAAGCCTAAATATGTGGTATGTGGCAGTGGCATAATAAAATAAAAGAATATTTATTTTATAAAATTTTCGTATTTAATAAAAAGATAATCTTAAAAATTTTTAGATATCCTATTAAAAAAAAGATAAAATATAACCTCGACCCCCCTTGGCATTGCTCTCCACTCATCAACACAATCGGTTTACACCATCACACATTCCGTAGATTAGTCCTGACAGACAAATAACACACAGACAAACGTGGCAGAACCATGCTGCAGTTATATTGGTAGAATTTATTTTATTCCGATGTCAGAAAATACCACGAAATAATTACGGGCAAACGGCAACTGTGCGACAGAGAAAGTAGTATACACAATTTCCGGAAGATAACAAGAGATGACACTATTGTGTCAGTACTCTTCTAATGACCAATTTAGTTAGATACTCAAATGTACCAAGGAAGCGGCTTACAAAGGGATCATCTATAAATAGTCATTAACAGACGGAAATTCCGTGGTAGACACAGAAAGTAGTATACACAATTTCCGTAAGATAATAAAAGATGACACTGACCGTATTGCGCACGCATTAGTGTGTGCGCGTCAGCGTCTTGCATATGCAAACGTGCACATTCAAAAATAATGCAACAGTTTTTCAAGGTGAAGGCGCATCTAACTATTCAAATCTTTGTTTGTAGCACAAATGGGTAGGCTCGACTGCGGAAGGACCACATTCTCACAGAATACCAGCGTAAAATAGTAGCTTAATGCTGCTATGTTTCGTATGGTGAGTGTAGAGAAACGGAGACCCTTTTTACTGGAAACGAGGCATTCCATCTTAGTCCTCACGGGTGACAACGCATCTGCATTTTGATTCGTAATCGAGTATAGATGTCTATGGGCCCCAGCAACCACTTACCGTCAGGTGGACTGTGTGCTCGTTTGTCACTCTATCCTATAAAAAAAAACTTTTTAAAAATGGTTATTAATGCAAATAACTCCCTGAGATTAATAGAGTCAGTAAGATTATATCTAAATTAAAGACAGAAACTTCAATTACTTACAGTTAAATGTTTAGATAATGTACTAACCGTAATAAATGATAATAGATAACCCTGTACCTCAGTCACTCTGCGACTGTTGCAAAAACATACGTAATGTCAGTACTGTCTTAGAAATATTCATTAAAATAGTTTTATTCAACGTGTAATATTTCCGTAGTAATAATTATAAATATAACAAATGATTAAGTAAATCGAAGGAAAAACTTTACCTACCCTTGCATTTCCATACGGATATGTCTGGATATTTAAATAATGGGTTAACTTTTCTACCACCGGCTTGAAATCTTTTGTGATAAATTGTATGCAGTCGGGACATAATGACTCGTAATACAATTTTATTGTGACCATTTCGTTTCCAACGAGGTTATTCTGAAATTTATATAATATCATACGTTATGTTAATATACAGAATACATATAAGCTATTCAATTTTATTATATTTTATATTAGATTTAGATTTTTGGTGTTCCAACTTCCTGCGTATCACATGCAATGTGTTTTATAGAAGAAAAAAAAACACAACATTTCATTTCCTGTAAATACACATGCTTATGCTATTAGAAATATATGAATGTGCTAGTAACCTTACAACTAAAACACTGAAATCTAATCTTATTTGCACTTATTAAAGAAATACTAAAAACAAGCTTTTTAAAAAGGTCAGATTCATGTGTAGTGTTGTAGAAATAAAATTATTACCTGTTCTTGAAGCGCAAACAGGTCTTGTTCTAAAAGTTTGCTTATTACTTTGTTTTCATCCGAATGATGTGAAGAAATAATATCTGCAAATAAATTAATTATAGCAATAATAAATAGAGGCGTTATTAATATTAGGGCATTACTAACTCACACATGGTTTGCTCCCACCCATGGACTACATTGTAAATAATGAAATAAATTAACAAATGTTTGCAGAGCGACATTTTAACTCAGATGTTAATGCGGAATAAATGTTGTAATGAATGTCTGTTGTTAATTCGTATAAGTTTGTCTGTAGGTAGGTGCGCTATCGCTGGTCTCAGGGCAGTGTCTTATATTGTTTTGTTTGTGTGAGATAACGACATCATTTGTTTTATTTTATTTTATTTTTAAGTTTTAATATATTTATTACATTAAGTAATAATACTTTAACGGATTTTATCGTTTGTTATAGTGTATCCATAAGAAATTAGTATGGAAGTATTATAACAAATCTCGAGCATATTATAAATTATTTTATAGAATTATAAAATTAAATTAAACTTGTTTTTACAATTGTTTGTATTTTAAAGAATAAAAGTCTCAGTTAAAAGAGTATGTTTTTTATGATAGTACTAACATTGTGAGGTATGTTTTATATTTTTGTACATTGTGTATTATCTATCAGTTACACAAAAGAATTGTTGTGTACAGCGCTATTGCAAAAATATTGTAGTTTTTGAATAAAACATTGTCTCAATAACAATAAAATGCCTTTGATTTTACGTGACATATTATTTTCAAATATTTTATTCTCTTTCATAGAAGATTGCTTTATAAATGGTATCTCTCACAAATGGAGTGAAGAGATGCAGATAGCTCATAAAATTTTTTTAAATTAAATAATTAAAAAATAGTTTATTTACTTAAAATTAATGAGTAACAGTACTATGCCATGGCCAAAATCACCCTGGAGTCATCACATTACTTAATTGCAGTCGTTGTCCGTGTACAAGGATCGTCTGAAATGATTATGGTGATGATGATATTCATACGCATGAAAATAAAGAGCACTCTCTCTCGTTAATTCAGAGAATGTTTAACGTGTTATGATGTACCTTGTTTAAACGAACGTGAAAGCAACATTTCTTGATTTTTTTAAAGATGTCTCTCTCTCAAACTAGGTTTGCGGTGACAAACTATCAGGTGAGCTAAATAAAATTAACTAATATTTACTTTCAAAATACATTTATAAATACACCAAAATATAATGAATCACTTAAAAGTTACGAGAGTCACAGGCATTTCTAAATTACAATGTCCTACGATGCATATAATGATGCCTTGAGTTGCAGTCCCTACTTTCCATTAGCTTAGACTACTAAGCGATGGTAAAGCATAGTACACGGATAGTATGGTACACGATGACATGGAGTGAGAGATCTCAAGACCGCGGACTTTCTGCCATAGAATAATAAAAATGTATTATAGTATTCTATGTACTTTCTGCACTAATTTTAATATAGTTTTATTACCATTTGTCTGAGTTCCAGAGTCTCAAGGGAGATTATCCATTTGCTCAGGACAGGATAGTGCACTACTCTCATTCTCATAGTCCAACAGACGATGGTCCGACATGAGGGGAGAAAGATCAAGTTCAATAACAACGAATTTACGTGATTTCCGAAGCACGGAGGCGATACATCGCCAATTTCCGTGACTCCGGGCTTGCTACTCAGAATTTTTTGATAGGAAAATCCAACAACAAAATTTGTCCTACCTAGGATTCATATTCGGGACTAGAAAACCAACGAGGTAGTCACAAACAAATATATCTTATAAACAAATGTGGCTTACTCTAAGTTTAAATCGAAAAACATTATTTAAAGTTTTTTCTTATAGAAATAGGGTCACAAACGAGCACACAGTCCACCCCACACCTATCCTCGGTTAAGAATCAAAATGCAGATGCATTGTCACACCTGAAAACTAAGATGGAATACCTCGTTTCCAGTAATAAGAGTCTACGGTTCTCTACACTCACCTTACAAAACACAGCAGCATTAAGCTGCTATATTACGTTGTTATTCTGCGAGAGCGTAGTCCTTTCCGAGCGTGGTCTAGCCGATCCATTTGTTCTAGAACCATAAAATAGCTGCAGCATGACTCTACCATAAAATAAATATGTACTTATATGATAGAAATAATGTTCCATAACTTTCGTTTTGTATCATAATAATGAAAGAAATAAGCAGAGATGTTTCGTCGTCCTCAGCCTTTCATAATAGGCCGCATCCAAGGAATGCCACAAAACAAATGTAAATCTATTAAAATAAGAACTTTTCCTTTCTTTTTAAATTGTTACGACGTCGAAGACCTACCGACGACGGTTCGCTAATCCCTGTATTTGCAAGCTAAGAACTTGCATTTTTATGTTTTCCTTTTAGCATTGTTTCCTGATAATAAAATATTAAACTTTTGCACACCCCCGCATTCTGTATGATTTATAATACGCAACGATAGAAATACGAAAAAGATCTCACGGCCTCCGTACATAGCGATTGAAAATCAGCTCGTATAATGCTATTTATGAAATATACAGACCGACGATATTTATTACTAATTTCAAAGGTGTGAGAGGCGATTTGGATATTGATATGCCGTTTTTTTTTTAAAGAGTCTCCTTGATCTTGATACAGTGCATTAGGCTTTGTACGTGTTTAGTTATTTTAGAACAGGGCTACTGTCACATTTGCCATAGTTGCCACGCTTGGCAAGCGGGTTGCTAACCGCAGTTTTTTATTTTAGTCGTTATTAGGAAGACACTGTTGCCTTTTGATTTGTTTCCATTTGTCGCCTTTTACGACACCTAAGTGATGTAGTGGGTTAGTCGATATTCTTACAGCGCCACTACACGCCACCCGGTATAGCTCAATGCTAAGCGTAGAGAACCTGACACCTTTTTAGTGGAAACGAGGCATTTCATCTTAGTCTTCAAAGGTGACAACGCATTCTGCATTTCGATTCTTAATCCAGAGTAGATGTCGATGTCTATGGGCAATAGCATCTACTTACCATCAGATAACCTGCGTGTTCGTTTGTTATGTATAAAAATAGATCACAATTGGCAAAGATATCGCGTAACATGCAGAAAAACCATACAGCTGAATTTTAAGCCCCCATTTTTTGAGTGGGCTAAAAATTGAAATCGACTCGTTGCAACAAATATGATTTCTTATATTTACGCGAACACTACACATTGATTAAAACTACTTTTACGGATTTTATCGCATTTATTTTACTATTATTTTTAATTCCCGACGTTTCGGGCACTTTCCAGCACCCATTCCATTCAGCAGTCCCCCGTGACCATGGGTGCTGGAAAGCGTCGGCAATTAAAAATAATAGTAAAATAAACGCGATAAAATCCGTAAAAGTAGTTTTAATCAACAAATATATGATTTTATAATTTAAAAAAGATTTTTTGTAAATTGCTACAAATATAATATTTACACAAATATGATATAATCCTTTTTTCGTATCTATTATTTACCAAAAATTCATAGCATAAAACTCATTCAATGAATAAAAATAAAAAATTTTTCTCAACATAATAGATTTAAGCCCTTGCGATGTTAATCCATCTCTTTGTTCTTTTTCAAATTAGTTTTAACAAACTTAACTGTTATATTTTTATATATAAGATAAGAGTATCAAGTGTCCGGTATTTTTTATATATTATATTAATTTTTCGCTGTCAGTCATTAATTTAAACTTGTTCATATTTCAATTCTTTATTTATTGCAGCCTATCGCAGTCCACGGCTGAATATAGGCCTATATAGCATGATATAAATCTTCCTACTTCCTAAATTGTTGGGGCATATATTTAATAGGAATTAAAAAAATATACCTATATAAATATTTTTTATACTTATTTAATGGTCTGGGATTGAACACTTAGTTCAAGCACTGTTTGTCAAGTTGTAGTCGAGTAGGTAACGGTCCAATTATGCTTAATAACATGCTTAGCGGGTCATTATTTCGTCTGAAAAAGTTTTTTGTTTTATACATGCACTAATTTATGAGCACACAATAACCTAAAAAACATTTTAATTGTTTATAAAGTCATTGACTCTGATTATAACAAAGAAAAAAGGGTGGCTGTAGAGTTGCCGGTTCAAAAAAATAAAAGGGGGTAGTTTTAAAAAGACTCACTATGAAATTTTGAGGTTTTATTTAACTTCATATGAATTATTTGCAAGCGTTGAGCCAACTCGTCATTGCAATGAGTTCGAATTGCATAATTTATTGCTGGAGCTAATAGTTACAGATCTAAAATAACTATCTAAACGAGTATGTTGAAACAGTTCTCGGGTCAGAGACACTATGTAAATTGATTTTACAGCTCCGGCTTCGCCTGGATAGGATTTACTAATGTGGCGTTATTTACATTTATGATAGTTAGATACTATTTATTTTGTAATTTTTTTTAAATATCCAAGTATTTCGGTAAAAGATAGCCTGCATCACACTCCTGGAATTGCCCTCTCTCTGTTCGTGAAGTTTCATTACAAACGGGTTAGCTATTTCGAAAATTAGCTCGGATAGAGAGACAACATTTTTGAAATATTTGTTCATGTCTTATTGATATGGACAATTACCTCCTCAGCTCAATATGAGACAGTTGTTTCGATATAACAGAGATTCAAGGTGTAGAAAGTGATTTCTTAGTACAAATGCCTTCATAAATTGATTTCGAAACATTACTATGAACAGATATATATTGTATCCCATTGAATAAAACTATTATTTACGGATTTTATCGCGTTTAATTACTTTAATTTATTTTTATTATTATCCCGACGTTTCGGGTGCTTTACAGCGCCCATGGTCACGGGGGGGACTGAGATGTTTGACGTCCCAATGTCATAGTTAGTCCGGCTACCTTCAGTTCTTTAATATTAATTTTTTTTAATATTAAAAAACTGAAGGTAGCCGGACTAACTATGACATTGGGACGTCAAACATCTCAGTCCCCCCCGTGACCATGGGCGCTGTAAAGCACCCGAAACGTCGGGATAATAATAAAAATAAATTAAAGTAATTAAACGCGATAAAATCCGTAAATAATAGTTTTATTCAATGTGTAGTGTTCGCGTAAATTTAAGAAATCA